GAGTGTGGGGGAGGCGGCGGAAAGCACTCACCACCCCGGCCGGCCTGAAACGCCTTCCCCGGGGGCCGCTGCCTACGACTCACTTCCCGGGCTTCGATTTACGCGAAAACTCCTGGGGCTGGTGAGGGTGATCGTGCAAAGCATGAGCTCGGGAGTTCCTTCTCTTTCCGAAATCCGTCCACGTTTTATTATTTCATCTTTATTCGCCGGTTTCTCCAACAAACGTTTATTGAGCAATGAAGTACTTGGAAAGCTCTTTGGTGGGTGCCGTCGGTGAGAGCTGCAAAGATGACTAAATCCCTGACCCAGCAAGGGTTTTTAAATGTTTGAAGTGTTCTGGACGTGAAACCCACAGAAAGATGACTACGCTATTATTATAATTATCTCCTCCAGCCAGAATCAATGTGTTTTTCACCAAAACTCCAGATTTGTTTTCCATCTAAGAGATGAAAAACACCTAAGAGATTCTCCCATTTAAGAGATTCTCCTGCTTCAGCCTCTTGAGTAGCAGGAATTACAAGCGTCCGCCACCACGCGCAAGCCCGGCTAATTTTTGTATTTTTAGTAGAGATGGGGTTTCACCCTGTTGACCTGGCTGGTCTGGAACTCCTGACCCCAGGTGATCCGCCCGCCTCCGGCTTCCAAAGTGCTGAAATTACAGGCATGAGCCACCGCGTTGGGCTTCAAAGCACTGTTTAATATCCCCTAATTATGCACAGAACAGCGTAACTGTATGATTATAGGCCAGGATTACTCAGTGATACCATTATTTGGGCCTTGTAGAATAGAAGAAGGTAGAAAATTGGATTTAAACAGAGAGCAGGATAATTTTGATCTTATAAAGTGTAGAGCATCAAAGCAGATTGCTAGCTTGAATTTTTAAAATTATTTCATTGATGTTAATATATGAAGTGTAAGAATTTTTAAATGGTAAAAACGACTGATTTGGTCATTAAACTTTCTGATTTTGGTCTTTACCAAAAATAAAAAAACTCCACACTTGTTCCTGAGCTTAGTGTTCTGTGGAATAACAATTGTAAATTAAGGGTTTAAATTTAGAGGCTAAATAAGGAAATTCTGTTTTCGTTTGTTTGTTTGTTTTTGAGACAGAGTCTCGCTCTGAAATCCAGGCTGCCACTGACTGGGAGCTCGATCATGGATCACTGCAACCTTGACCTCCAAGGCTCAAGCCATCCTCCTGCCTCAACCTCTGGGGTAGCTGGGACTACAGGTATGTGCCATCACATCTGGCTAATTTAAAAATTTTTTTTAGAGACAGAGTCTCCGTATGTTGCCCAGACTGGTCTTGAACTCCTGGGCTCAAGTGATCCTCCTGCTTCAGCCTCCCAACGTGCTGGGATTACAGGCGTTGAGCCACTGCGCCCAGCTTCTGTATGTATTTTAGATGCCAACCTTGAGAGGGCCTCCAGACTTTTTGCCAGAATACAACGTCAGGTTTGTGGTTGTTTTCTGGTCAGCTTCTTGATTTTGAATGGTCGCCAGCTAAACATGTCTCCTACAGTGTCATGCTGGCATCTCAAAGTACGGAAGGGAGGTACCATAGCAAGTGAGTTTACATCTTTTGGCCTCCTTGTTGTGATCTTGACTCACTGGAGACTCGAGGCACCTAGCTCATGTTCTTCTCCATGACAACTCTTTTTTTTTTTTTTGAGATGGAGTTTTGCTCTTATTGCCCCAGCTAGAGTGCAGTGGTACAATCTCGGCTCACTGCATCCTCCGCCTTCCCGTTTCAAGTGATTCTTCTGCCTCAGCCTCCCAAGTCACTGGGATTACAGGTGCCCGCCACCATGCCCAGCTAATTTTTTTTTTTTTTGTATTTTTGGTAGAGTCAGGATTTCACCATGTTGGTCAGGCTGGTCTTGAGCTGCTGACCTCGTGATCTACCTGCCTTGGCCTTCCAAAGTGCTGGGATTACAGG